ACACTTTAAACTTCTCATAATCTGGAATTCAACTAACTGGAGACTAATCCCATTTTCCTCTTTCCCTCTTAACGTTTCTGAAATAACTACCATGGGTTCAGAGATGTATTTAATAAAATGATTTTATCTTACTAATTAAATTAATAAATGAATGACAAGGTGTGTAGGTCAGAGGTCCAGCATCATTAGTATATTATCCTATATTGACAGTATTTAAATGCATTATGTTCATAATGCCACGAGGGAATGTGATCATTTATTTTTGAATCATGAACAAAAGAATAAATTACATTCACGGTAATTTTTACTGCTAAGCACAACTTTTTATACAGTGCATCTCCGAAACTTGGCCATCCAGATGTAGAATATGTAGCAACATTCAGTGAACTGGAGTATCTGGAGTATTCCATGAATTAAAATAGCATATGCCTTAGGCACCGTGGATAAAATGTTTGTACCCACGAAATAAGATCTATCTAGCAAGTTGTGGTTTGTCCATTGTAGAATACAAATTAAATCATTTTGATCTGTAAGGTATTTATGCATTCAGAGGAGAAAAATCTCTCTTATATCTTATATATTTCTCCTATATTTTATAAGACTAAAATTTTTTTCTCAACATATATAGGTTTTTGGAGATTTCCAGAATTTAATCTTTTTGCTTTTATATAAAAATTACCATGCCCCTAGATTTATGCCATCTTCAATAAATAATCTATCAGTTTTTCCATGGCCAGAACACTAAAGTTTAAAGAGATTGTGGGTAGCTACCATAATCTCTTTGAAGAAATTAAAGATTATTTTTGTCCGCTTATTTTCATTGAATAAAACATTGCCATTCAAAGTGAGTGTCTTTAAAATCTAAAAATACAAGAATCTAACTTCTTCCATATATTATTTAAGGAAATCTAACATTTCTGTCTTATTACATGGGTTTTATGTTAGTTTCTCCAACAACATTCTGGTGACTAAGGACTTTTCTAAATAAGCTTAACCATTAATTGAATTTATGCAATGATATTTATGACAGTAATCTCTCCCTAGAAAGGCTTTTAGTGTGTGGATAAGACAGAGCAAAAGAAGCTAAGTAAGGATCAAGTTAGGGAAAAACAATAAACACATTCATAATTCAAAATGATACTTATCTTTCTGTTCTAGAAACTAAGCACTGGTAATTTAAGTAAAATGTGTCACAATATATTGAAGTGTGCTGAAAATGTTAAGATATATCTGCATTTTTGTGATGAATTTTGCATCAGAGATAGTCTATATTCTGTTCTTGATATTTCTAATAAACATGATATGAAATTATTGCAATAGTAATATAAAATTACACCTATTTGTAACCCAGTTTTAAAGGGCTTAACCTTTATTAGTCACATAATCAGAAGTAGGTAAAACCTTAGTCATTCTTTTAAACTATTGTCATTATTTGTCATATGTGCTTGAGTACAAAAAAATTGGCTGTATGACATTAGAAGGTTAAAATGGATAACCCGTCTTTACTTCTGCCAAACCACTTTGTCAGCCAGCCAGAAGGGAAAGAAATGTAATGCAGGGAATGTAAACTAAAATGCCTTAGGGGCCAGGCAGGAAACATAAACAAATGGAACAAGAAATAAATTAGGAACTGTGGGGCCTGGGAGGCACTGGGGAGCACAGGCCCAATCTAAAGGGGGACGGTGAATGTTTTGACTTAGCCTTTAATTGCCTCAGAGGAATATCTGCCTGGCAGGTTGTACCTGTTGTACACTGCACATCCTTTGTGGCTCCATCTACTTTATAGGGTAGTTGTGTCTCTGCCTCCCATGCAAGCCTGCACAATCTAATGTAGTGGCCCTGATGTCCAGGGTTGCCAGATCTTGTGACTTTTTTTTTTTTCTAGTTATTCACCTCATTTGGATGTTTATATGTGAAATTTCTCAATTTTTAAAATTTTTCCAACTAATTCAGTTTTTAAATGCTCTTTAAGAACTACAGGAAATCCGTCCTGCCACAAATTGATGTAATCTCATATATAATGCCTGGGAGAAAAGGAAGTTTATTTTCCAAAGACTATGTTATTCTGCAGACATACAGATGAATCATATGATCAGAGCATCCTCACTGCCCACAATATAATAATTTGGAAGGTATATTCTGAAGGCTCTATTGGAACTGTAAAGAATATAGAAGTTATTTATTTTTTTGTAGCTTAGAGTTTTAGAGCTCTGTAGTCTCTTGCTTCACTAATAACTTCAGTGGTATGTAGGTCTATTCCATTGAAGTTACGGTGAAGCATAGTTGTCTAAAGCATTAGAGGAGGTGATTGTATACAGACTAGGTTGCCGGCAAAAGATCGGGCTTCAGTGGCAAGCCAGGTAGCTAGCTAAAAAAAAAATTACTATATATCATAACTTTTAATAACAAAAGTGGACTTATGTGGCATCTACCCATCTACCATCCCTCTATGCATGCATGCATCCATTTATCCATCAATCCTTCCAACCATCTGTCTCTTCTTCCTTCTTATCCTCCTTCCCTCCTTTGTCTCTCACCCCCTTCCCTCCCTTCCTCTTTTCCTTCCCCGTTTTCCGTCCATCCATCTACCCATCCACCCACTCATTGAGCCATCCATCCACCCACCCACCCCTTCATCCATTCATTGAATCAATGCCACATGGTAGACAAGTGTTGACACTAGGGATTACAAACTTATGACCCAGGAGCTAAATCTAGAATCCAGAAATATTTGTCTAGGAGTGTTTAACTAAAAACAAAATGTCAGTCCTTTAGAAGGTCTGCATGCTGTCCAGTTCCAAGCTCCATGACTCCCTACAGCTTCTGGCCCAGTTGTTTCACACATTTTGTTCAAAAGAGCTACCTCTGTTGAGTGTTTGCTCTGTGCCATACTACACTGGATATTTTATATACATTATCTCACATTTGTTCTCACAACAACCCTGAAAGGTTGGCATTAATAGTCCCATTTTACCAATGAGTAATTTGGCGCCTAGAGAGGTCCGGTGATTTGCTCCAAGTTGCATGGCTTGTAAGGTTTAGCTAGAACTTGAAATCGGGTCGGCGGGGGGTCTCAGTCAGTCTCTTAACATCTGTGAGCTCTTTACATGAAGTCCTAAAAAATGATTTGGCCTAAAAGATGAACGGGGCCTTATTGATAACCTGACTCCATTACTGGTGTTTCATACCCTCCATCTCATTTAAAAATAAATGCAAATATTAGATTAAGTTCACATTCAAGTTTTTTTTTAAGTTTTAGATATATACTACCTTTTTTTTAAATCTTCACCCTTTAAGACTAAATTGAATATTCATACAGATCATGCATAATCTTGGGTCTACTTAGGTTGTAGGTATGAATTTCAGCCCCGAGATTAGAGTAGGTAAGAAATGTCACTGTTATGTACATCAGTTTATTTTCTTGAATTTAAATTAAGTCCTCCTCTAAACTCTAAGCTCACTGTGTTGGATAGAAATACCAGACATTGCTAGGATTCCAGAAACCCCTTCTCACATCTCCTCCCTCCCATCCCCACCCTCAAAGAGAGGTCCTGTGAGGTCCAGTAGGGTAGACAGGCTGCCCCTTCTCCATCTTTAGCGAGCACTGGTCACGCTGGTGTGATCCTTGCCCATGCTTACAGGGTCTCAGCGAAGCAGGCACTCCAGAGTTCCTGAGGCTGCCTTGGGTACAGGCATGCCTGCCTGAGGGCCTGAGGGCCTGAGGGCCTTAGCCTCATAAGCAGCCCATTCCCTTGACAGCCTGTGCCTGTGGGGTGGTTGTGGGAGAACAGGCCATGTGTCCAACTACTCACGACCCTGCAGACTCCTCTCCTCTGAATCTTGAGGAATTTTTCTCCCTGCTCTCCCTCACCATTTGTGCTTACTTCCTAACCTCAGAAACACACCTCTCTTCTCTCCTCCTAGTATATTGCCCTCAGTGTGGGCTTGTGATTTAAAACCATCTAAAAATATATGTGCTTTAAGCAACTTCAGCTTTGGCTTGTGTTGCAACTTACCAGATAGAAAGCAACAGAAGGCCAGGAAATTTTCTTTGGGGGTGGGGGTGGGAGTGAGAGGGGAGGTGCAAGGGGCTGAAAACAGAAAAAAAAATTCCCAGCTTGTCACTTTTATTATAATTAATGAAATTAATGCAGATGGTTTACTTGAAACTCAGCACAGTGATGATAAATCAGCCTTGGGAGTTTAAATCCAGCTCCACCACAAGTTATAATCTCTCTCCATACCTTGTTTTTTTTTTTTTTTTTTAATCTATAAAATGGGGATACTAATGGTAATTATTTCATAAGGTTGGGTTTAAATGAGTTTTAAACAATTTTATATAACATTCTCTTAAAGCACTTTCATAGGCAGGTCTAAGAGTTTAGAATAAAGCCTGGAATGTAGTAAGTGCTAGGTTTTATTTGTTATTTCTTGAATTCAGTAGTGTAATCGAATAGAATTCAAAACATTGGATAGAAACAAACTGTATGAAGCTGTTGCTGTTTTGGATATCAATTTTGAGAATAATTCAATTGATTGTGAACTTTGAGCCCTAAATGACACAAGTTTAGTCCTGAATGATACAAATTTTAGAAGACCCTAAATCAGCTTTATACTTCTAGCCATACATAGGCTTGAATTACCACATCCACATTCAAACCTCCAACCAAGTCTCCGTTAAAATCCTTTTTCTCTCTTCTACTTCTTTCCCTTCTCCTTGAAGTATTTTTAATTGTGCATGTATTGCATTTGTGAATTACCTTCCTACTTGTTTTCCCTGCATCTTCAAACAGTAATGCATTCCTCAAAAACACATCATTCTGCTATGCAAATATCTTCATAGGGGAAATTTGAAATTGACAAATACATTCACTTAAAATTTGCCTTGTGTTGAAAATTAAAGAAAAAAATTTCAATTGGCTATTTGTGCATCGTTACTAGTAAATCAACCCAATTTGATGTAAAGATGGATATTACGGTCATTTCAAAGTGATTTTTGGTTTTGGTAAGTGGGTCCTACAGCATTATGTCTTCATTTTTGTGAGTTATTGCACCTGGCTAGCGTTTTCATTGCTGCCTTATGTTTATTTGCTGCAAATCCCTCTCAAAACTGTGTGCACTGGTTATAATGGTAATGAGGAAGATAACTCAAACTAAAATTCAAATCATAGAAGCTTTAGACAGATAGGAGAGTTAACTCATTTTCAGCATGTGCAGGCTAAATTATGCATGGGATGAAATAGAATAGGCAAATTGCAGCATAATAACAAAGAGTAAATTTAAAACATAGGACCTGTACAGTATTTAAACTGGCTTTAATATTCCTTGAATACCACATTATTGTTTTTCATTCATTCTCTCATTCCTCTCTGTCCCAGTCCTCGTGCCCCACCTTGAGAGGATAATGATTTCACAGGATCTAGACCCAGGATTAAATTTCGCTTGCTCTACTGTCTCCAGTTAACGTCTTTGTTATTACTGGTCTGTTTTTGTTGTTGTCTTTCACAAGTCTTTGACTCGGTAGCAGTAGCAAATGATAGAGATCTTGAAGTGTCTCAAAAAAAAAAAAAAAATGCCTTTCAGGGTAGTATCACTCCACCTGAGAGGATGCCTCCCTTGCTCCTTGGCCGAGCTGAATCACTGATCATTGTGCCCACGGTCCAGTTGTGATAACAGACTAATTGCAGCTGTTACGGGGATGCCAGCTCAGTAATCTGTGTTTCTCAATGGCAGCTTTGTTTTGTAGGGCCATCTATGACAAGACTCAATTGGCAGATATTTTTCTAACAAATGTTCATCCCAGATGCTGCTAGTGTTTAAATAGGATGTGCCAAGATTTAGATAGAAATATAAAATCATTTGATATTTTAAAACCTAGAAATCTAAAATAATCTCAGAGAAAGAACAGTAGTTCTTTATGTGGGGAAGTGCCCTGTGCTTGGTAAAAAAAAAAAAAAAAAAAAATACATTTTGTACTGTTTATATGTAAAAGAGAACGGGGCCTATATACATAATACTTTAACACCATGGTTGGAACGATGGAAACATCACTGTTAACCCCCCATATGCGATGCAGATATCTTCATTATCTCCCATTCAGGGTTTTCACTGAAGTCTAATCAACGATTTTTTGTATGTGCAATTTTCTAGAACGTTTGCTCTTCCAGGAAGTCCTGAAGGTCTAACCCAGCAGTGAAAACCAGTCTGTTTCCCCAGCTACCTATTAAGCAAACCACTTTGAGACTTCTAAGTAAATCCCCTCTAAAGGTTTTTTCTACATTTAAATTCCAAACAAAGGCAATGCAGAAGTTTCACTTTCTCTTTATGCATAATTTATTGCTTGGTATCCCTCCAAATAAAATCCCTGTACGGATGGATGATCGCCACCCCTTCCATGTCTGTGTGGTTGCTGCTAGAGTGAGCAGGGAAATAAAACCAAGGGAATGAAAATGAGTATTTTGGTTTTATTACATCGTTAAGCCAGTTTTGTGCATTGGATTATCTAGCATTTTAGTAAGAAATAATTTCTCTAATTATTTAACATGTGGGCAATATAAAGAAAATGTGCAATACAGTCATATGTTAAAGTCAGAAATAGCAAAGCCGCCAGATGGCTAGTAACCAGATTAAAACAAAACAAATTACAATATGATTTTTAAAAGAATGAAGCAAGTCCGAACTTTTCCCAAAATACCTTTATTTTTAGGCAGCGATTAAGAGAAACAAAGTGTACCAGCACACAGTTAAACTGGCTTTTATTCTTCACTTGAGACTAGTTCTAATTGATCACTGTGCTATTGTATGATTTGATTGTGCTGACAGTTACATGCCACTGTTCCCATAATAACAATTTTTCTTCTTTGTTCAAATGAATTTCCTAATGACACGTGTGATGGGATGTTTTAATTCTTTTCCCTTTTCAAATCCACCTTCCTGTTGCAATGCATGATGGGCAGGCTCAATATTGTGCATGACACCCGCTACAAGTGTTGGTAGGTCCCAGCTTTGTTTCTTGATTATCTTAAACCTATGGTGCACCTCACAGCCCCTCAAAATCCACTGCTAAGTTTTAACTTATATCTATTGGGCAAGTCCATTTCCCTTTTACTAACACCTGTCAATTAAATGCCATTTTCTATTTAATTGACATGGACTCACATAAATGTTTTCTTTACACACAAGTTTCCTTTAGTCACCTTTGGTGGATTTTGATTGGACTATGAGTTCTGGTGTGTAAAAAAAAAAAAAATCTGTATCGTAAAAGTAATATATTGTGTATTTTTATAATAATAAATAAAAAATACATTCATTCAAACAGATAACTGTATAAATGAAGTAAAGACCTGTATTTTGATGTAGATTTTGAATGTCTGACTGTGAACACTATATAAAATTCTAGTTTTTGACGTAGCAAATTAAGCCTGTTGTGTCAATTTTCTTGATTTGATGGTAACAAGCTTTTTTTCCCCTTTTTTTTCTCTTTCATCCCCCTTCCCCTTCTCTCCTTGGAATGTTGTCCTGCTTTGCGCTGTGATTGCATGTCACTCGCTGGTGATGATGTCCCGTCACATGGCTTATTGCTGTGATAAATACCATGCCCAATTATCGCCTCCATGTTGCCATGGTTTCCATATTGCTACACTCTTCTGTATGTTTGCTTATCTGATTTTCCCTCCGAAAGTTCCCATGGTGCACGGTGCTACGCCAGCCACTGTGTCCGCAGCAACAACATCTGCCACAAGTGTTCCCTTCGCTGCAACAGCCACAGCCAACCAGGTTTGCTAATTTACAGCTTTGTTTCTTAAAAACCAACTCTAATAGGGCTCGGTCCAACAGCCCTTACGCACGTGGCTTTCCCATTGAGGTCAGTGGGAATCGTGTGTACGTGAGGGCTGTGGTGGGTGCTTTAATAGCATGGGGTTTCAAAGATACCTCTTGTTGGCCTACACATTCTCTCTATGATGAGCAGCAGAATGCTTCGATGCCATTTATAAGTGCTCCAGAGTTGTCGCGGCTCCGTTTCTAAAGCTACTAAAATGATATTTACACAAGCAATTCTCACTGGGTCTCCATCGTGCAGGGGTTTTGACCGGTCAAAAATGCAGCTAATTTTAGGTGTTCATTATAAACATTTGGTATATACCGTCTCTTAGTTCTTGCCTAAATTCTTAATAAAAGGCAAAATGTTTAAAAATACGTTATATATGCCACAAATGACCAGTCTTGTAAATAGAGTTTGTTTACAAATTCATGACGGTTTTGTTTGATAAGCAGACTGTATGTTCAAAATAATTTAAATTGGCGTCCAGGTTTTGATTCTCAGTGCTTTCAAGGAAAAACAAACACAAAAACAAACAAACAAAAAAAAACCCACGCGCTCTTATTTCTGTAATTAGCCAGCATAGATTTTGGAGAGTTATGAAGGAAAAAAAGACATCAAAGATGGTAAATTGAGTCATTCTGTGTTCCATCCATGTTTGTGGAGTAACGGTTTCACAGTTTACTCGTAAGTAAGTGGGATCTGTTTCAGAAAATTGAATTTTGTGACATATAAGAATAACTATTTAAAAGAAAATGATTATTAAAATAATTAAAGTTTAAAAATTGACCTTGGTTCAGCCAGCATTCTCTGATCCTATTTTAAATTGTGCCCTAGAAAGTAACAGTTGAATCAAAATCAAACTTAGGTGAAGGAGGTTTTGGCTTTAACATATAGGTGTGTTTGTTACAAAAGCAAAGTTCAGTATGGTTAATAGCATGTGAAAAAATCTAGAGCCAAATCAAGTTTCACATAACCCACAGACTACAGGTAAATGTAGCAAAGGAGTCAGCATGTGGCCCCTTGGGCAGAGAAGGCCAATTAAGTGCCATCTGAATTGGTATTTATTGCTGTGAGAAGCAGGTACCCCACTCTCCACCGGACACCATGTCTTGCTGAAGAACCATAAGCTATTAGCATAGCCATTAAAAACTTTCAAAAGCAGCCTGCCAAAATGGATGTATTTTAAAGTTTCAGGCAAGCTTTAAACATTTCTTGGCAAAAAACCATTAGTTTTTCCGAAGCTTGTCAAAATAGCCCTGGATTTATGCTAACACATCAGACTCATTTACAAGAATTCTAGATTGTGCATATGTGGCATGTTAGTAAGTAATCTATGGCAGAAATTTCTTAATGGATTCAACGCGATCCATTTATGGTGCAAATTGATGATGCTGAGCTCTGTGCGTTTACCACATATGACGACAGAATTGCTGGTGTAAGCCGAACTATATAGCAAAGCAAATTCCAAGATGCCCTGGGCCACCTGGGTTGTAGGGGACACTTTACTTTTTGCATTGTGCTGTGACCATTTCATGCATAATCTTGGATCTTTGTACTGTTTTACAACCAAAAGAAAGAAAAGGGAAATGGATATATATATAGACACATATATTATATCTACATATACATACATATGTATATGCCTACAGTATATTAGCAATGCTGGAAATAGCTGATGCCACAAAATGCAGCCTGCATGCATGCAGAAGTTTATAGCTGGCCCTTCATCTGCATCGATTGGTGTTGAAGGTCCTTGGTATGTTTCGACAGCCCCATCCTTGATGCTTCTACACTGTTGGGTGCAACATCCTGTCCTGCAGCAGCAGGAAAAATGGTATGAGAAGCTTCATTATGCTTGGAGCACATTTTCGTGCCATTTGCCAATGCTGTAAAATTGTGTAAAGATGTCAGCTGAGAAATGGAAATAAAATAGAAGCATATTAATTTATACTCCAGACTGTGGATTGTAATATGTTGCATTAGTCTAGGACATCTAAATTGAAACAACAACAACGAAATGCCTTCATGGACGTGATTTTGCTCTTCTCCCATCACCCTTGCCGAGATGGGATGGGTGCCATTTTACAGACGAAGAAGCTTTTAAACATCGAGTAATTAAGTGCTTGGCTCAAGGTTACACAGCCAAGAAATGGATCCACTAGGGTTAGAACCCGTGCTTTCAGTCCTCTGACTGCCTCACGCTACTGTGCTGCCTGCTCCCAGGTTAGCGGCCACAGTGCTGGATTGGAGGAGAATCAGGCTACAAACTGGAAGGTCATTGCTTTGGGGACCATTGCGATGAGGCACCTCTATATTGATTTCCTACTATATTTTCTCTCAAGTTTTTTAAATTCTTGTGCCCATTTATAATACAATAAATTGTGCCATCAGGATTCAGAAATGGATTCCGAAATGAACCTAGGCTCCTATCGGGTTCCTTTGAAGTACTCCTTTAAAATTCTTACCTCGTATTTTTAATTTAAAAAAAAAAAAAAGCTAGAAACCATAAGTTGAACAAAAATGTTAGAAATTGGTTGCACAAAAGTAGGCAAGGCATTTCCTACTTTGATTTCTGGATGACTGCATAAGTGAAACCACAGGTGTGTGTGTGTAGGCCAACAAAAAGGGCTTCTTTCAATTACTGCTGTGCATGAATTTTTAATAGTTTTACTTCTCTTACTTCCTAAAAACTGATAACATTTATAGAATAGTATTTAACACAAAGATTTTAAACAATGAGTTGCTACCTTGATATTAAGTTTACATTAACTTACTGTTATGTTGGCCAGATAAGGACTGTCACCTCACAGCTGAATTTCACTTTTTTAAATAAATTTAATATTAAAATGTTTTCATCTCTTGGTTGTTGGCTTGCTTGCATGGATCATTCATCAGATAATTTTTTATTTGCTAGATACCCATAATATCTGCCGAACATCTGACTAGCCACAAGTATGTAACCCAGATGTAGAATTTTCATCACTAAACAGTAAGTTCCTTATGTCATATATAGTGTGTATTTATTCGTAGTGGTTTTTTAAGATAACTTTGGTATGATGCACTGCAGAAAATTTTGTGAAATTTTTATGAGAAAATATTTATATGTTTTATTTTAATTATTTTTTAAATTCAGTATCATCAGATACTTACTGAACACCTGCCTAGTGACTGGCACAGTTCTATACGTAGAAGGTACAGACAAATTAAACAAAGCTTAGATGAATGAATGTACTTAGAAATCAGCATCTGTTTCAGTACTGAAGGTTTTGCGTGCAATAAGGAATTTTTATCTTAAATGGGTTATCTTTATTTTTTATTTATCCTTATCTTTATTTTTATCTTTATTATATCTTTTATTTTTATCTTAAATGGGTTATGAGGAATTTTATTATACACATTTATAATACATACATTAATATCACTTAAATATACGTAATACTTAGGGAAAATAAATTTTGTTGATTAGATTGTTATTTTTATTAGAAATAAACACAAGCATGAAGAAAAAATGACTTAGAACTAAATAGATGGTATCGATCTGAAAAGCCCAGGTAGTAAGTATTTGTGGTTGTGTGGGCTACATGGCTTCTGTTGCCATTCTTTTCTGTTGGAGCTCTTCAGCTCTGCCCCTGTAGCATGAGAGCAGCCAGAGATGATAGGAAAATGAAAGCGTGTGGCTCTGTCCCAATAAAACTTTATTTACAAAGCTAAGCAGCAGGCCCAGTTTGGCCCACAGGTAGTAGTTTGCTGAACCCTGGTGTAGGTCATCTTTTTAAATATTTTTTAATTTTTTGCTAAATCCTAAAGGAGAACATGTACCCACTCCCCCTGCCCCATGCTTTACCACACACACACACGCACACGGGGTTATTTGAGTGTAAAGAGGTCGGACTTTTTTTTTTTTTTTAAGATTTTATTTATTTATTTGAGGGGGAGAGAGAGAGAGCACAGGTAGGGGGAGGAGGGAGGGAGGGAGATATTGTACCATCAGGGAGAGGGAGAGGGTGAAGCAGGCTCCCCACTGAGCAGGGAGCCCAATGCAGGGCTCAATCCCAGGACCCTGGGACCATGCCCTGAGCTGAAAGCAGATGCTTAACCGACTGAGCCACCCAGGCGCCCATGAGTTGGACTTTAATTAGATGTATACACACACTCACATCTGTGCATACACATACATCTACGTATCCGAATGAATTTTAGGTACTTCAAAATAGTCACCTTAGAGGATTGCATGATTCTGAAGATGTTGCCATTGCTCAAAAAATAATTTGAAAGTCTTGTGATTTTCCTTCAGACACATTGACTTAGATACTTGTGAAAGGTGGCCATTTTTCATCCTTAGAGGATCTGCTTTATTCAGAATACATGCATTCAATCTATCATATCTGCTCAGAATATTCTTTATACTTAAAAAGAGCCACCGTGTTTAAAACTGAATCTGGTAATAAGTTGGGTGATCCTTCTTTGTTGCTTCCCTCCATGTATCTGTTCATGAACACACTTAGACATGATTTTCTCGTGCTGCTATGTATTACTATGTGCTACCATGTCAGTGAGATAAAGTGAATAGACAATGAGATAAAGATGGAAATTTCAGCACACTATGTTAAAATACGAGAGCTTTGGGGCGCCTGGGTGGCTCAGTCATTAAGCATCTGCCTTCGGCTCAGGTCATGATCCCAGGGTCCTGGGATGGAGCCTCTCATCGGGCTCCCTGCTCGGCGGGAGGCCTGCTTCTCCCTCTCCCACTCCCCCTGCTTGTTGTGTTCCCTCTCTCGCTGTGTCTCTCTCTGTCAAATAAATAAATAAATAAATCTTTAAAATACGAGAGCTTTGAACAAATTTCTCTTGGAGCAAAGATGAAGGAGCAACTTTTTCCAGCAGAGTCAGCAAATAAGTGAATTGGGGCAATGGCAGTTGCTATAGAGGGAAGGGAGGAGTGAGGGCCTTTCCAAAGAAGGGACGGTGTGTGTGAGTGAGGAGATGGTGGCGGAGAACCAGTTCTGAGGCCCTTGTGATCATAATCCACAGCAATAACTGGACAAAGGTTGAGCCCATGCAGGAGAAGAAGATAGACACAATTTGAGAGCAGTCCAAGAAGTACCACCAAAGACATGCTGCAATCATGAATTAAATTATTAAACATGATTTTTGTCTACTTCAAAAGCTTTCTCAATAATCTGATAATAAATTATCCTGAACAAGAGCCACATTTTTGAATAAGCACATTATTTGTAGTACGTAGGTTTGGAAGAAAAGTTCTCCTTTTGACATGTTTTAAAAAAGATCGACTTTAAGCTTTCGTAGTCAATTGGGTATGTTTGGAATGTATATATGTAACTATGTTTAGTTCTGAGCCATAATCCAGGTTGAAAAAAAATGATACCAAGTGGCCATAAGTTCATCAATTAGCAAACCAGTGGATTTGTCTGTTTTGAAGCTTAGAGTCTTAATGTTCTGTTTATTTATCAAATGATTGCTCATTTTCATGAGTAGTTGCAATAATTAAACTGGTTATTGAGTGTAGCAAAATGGTGACTTCTTTCATTTGCAAGATTGTATTCTAAAGCATACTTTTAATATTTAAAGATCCTCTGATGAGAACAAAGTTCATGTAAAAACTGGAACTGTTCATTCACAAGTACACTCTAATATCTCTTCCACCTTAATTTGTCAGGAGCGTAAGAGATTTTTATTTTTCCTGGCTTTGGGGGGAAAAAAATCCCAAACTTTATCCAAAACAGTTACTTAAAAGTATAATTTTTCCCCCAAACATGTACTGTGCTAGTGAAGCACCTAAATATGATGAGTCATGTTTAATAGGACTTATTGTTGCATGGATTTTAATTTTGTAGGACCAGATGATTACTCTTGAAACCTATTAAACCATAAAAGAGACGAATTAAAGTGAGCTTAAATTCTGCCCCCCAATGACGGCACTCAAAAAGAGCTCTACTACATTCTGCCCCTTGATTCTGCAAGTATATTTTATACTTTTAACTCAGTATTGGGTAATATTTGAGCAAAGCCCACAATTTTATTAAGTTGTACATGTCCTGTTATTCTCTTAGACATGTAAATTTAGGTCCACTTGTACTTGTGAAGTGTTTTTTGTTTTTATATGAAGCCAGAACGACATACGTGTATTTACACTTGAAATCAAGAAATACAATTTTCATATTCAGTATATATTGGAAACTGCTTTATTGTCTATTTTAACAAAGCTTATCTCTTCTTCCCTTGTAGATCATACTAAAGAGGAAAGGACAGTGTGCTTGGTTAGAGTAAAGGACGAGGTCATTAGCCATATTGTATATACCGTCAAGCAACACACACAAAAACCCCTCAGCCACAAGACATCCACATATTGCATGTTAACCAGAAGAAGAGACACCATGGAAATCCACTGCACACTGTTGCCTATACACTTTGTACATTTAATTGATATTTGTGCTGAGGTGATATTCCTGTCTAAAAGAACAACATCATCTTTCTTTTCTAGCACAGTTATGCATTAAAATATGCATACCTAATTAGTTTCCTATATATTCATGCCATCTTGAAAAGACAGACTGTGGTGTAACCATGATTCTATTATGTATTGGTACGTCTGTAGACCAAGATATAATTTTTTAAAAATAAGTTTATTTCTTTCAAGGTTTACAAATAACAAAGGTGCACCTTGTATTTAAAATTGCCATTATAGATGAGAGCGTGCATGCACAGTCATTTTTGTTTGAGAGTAATATTTTTAATGTAATAGATTTTAAGATGCGGTGAGGGAGGGATCTGACAGAGATGAATGTGCCAAGCAAAACCACAACTGTGTATCTTTTAAAGCACATCATGGCTTTAAGTACCATGTTGTTAAGGATTCTCATGAAGTGCCATAGACTGTATATCAAATTAGAGTATTATTTCTTCAGTGTTATTGTTTTCAGAGCCACATTTTGTTGCTTATCTGCTAGTACTAATCAGTCAAAGGGCACCATTCTTTTTTTTTTTTCTTTTCTTTTTTTTTGAAACCAAAGCTGTCTCAGAAATGGCCAATTTAACTCTGCAGTAACAATAGACAGCACAACACAAACTCTCTCAATACAGATAAACTCACACATACTGGAGATATATATAATAGATATATATATAAAATTATTTTAATGCATTGTAGTGTAATATTTCTGCATACTATACTGTATAACATGTTATTCAAAAGGGATATGCCATTTCTGAGACACGATAACGAAAAAAAACGTTTGAGGAAATTATTTTGCTTCTATTTATAGCTCTGTCAAAAGTCAAAAGACTATAAATGCTTTGCAAAAATGGTTTCACATTTGCTTAAACGCTTCATCACAGTCACATTTAAAATAGTGACTCTAAACAAAGAGGAAAGCAGCACTGTCATCAGATGCATGATAAACCAAAATATGAAAATGGGAAATGTTTAATTAACCTAGTAATTGGGTGGGTTAAGTACATGGGTGAATTTTATATGTGATTTGTTTTGTTTTGTTTTGTTCTGATTAACTGCTTATAGCCTTAGAAAGCCTTTTACAAAATTAAAAAAAAAATAGATGTGCATTCAGTTTTTAAGAATGGATTCATCCAAAGGAATTCCTTTTTTTTGTGGTTTGGATGTTGCAGCTAGTAAAGGATATTTTTGCTCTGTTCAGCAGTTCTAAAAATTGCTGAAGTAGGGGCTAGGTCACTGGTAGTTATAGTATGGAATGGGAGAAGTGAAAGTTCGGTTATAGAACTTTCCATACTTCCAAGTTTACTGCAAGTTTTTATGCTTGAGAGAGATGCTTTCTAATATAAGACTGATGTGTTGATTTTACTGATTGTACTGTACATCTATTAAAGCCTTAGATTATTACATTACGGGTTGGAACCCATACCAATGTAATTTCAATCATGTTAAGAGAGTAATGGTGACTTCACATGTTATTGTAGTTAGTTACATTATAGAATATTACTTATTTTTCTTGTTAAAATGTAGTTTTTCATTTCCTACATTTATTAGATTTCATTTTCTATTAACAATGGAATACCATTTCAGTTTATAGACTATTGTTTTATTAGATTTTACCGATGAATTTTTCAAAATACAAAAAAATTAAAGTAGTTTTTCCTTCATAACATACTCAGTTTTGAATTACATGTAGTGTCATACGAATATTCGTATTATTGTTAACTAAATGATTTATATTTTACTGATTTAATATTAAAGTGTAAGAATGTCAGTCATTGTTAGTTCTTGTCTAGTTTTCATTAAAAGAACAAAGATCTTTTATATGGATATCTTATAAATATATAATCATTGCTAAGTAAGAAGTTAAGTTGTTGCTATCGCAACAATCCTGGCAGACAATTGAGTAATATTTTGATGATTTATTTTGTTTGTAATTAGTTATTATAAGAAGATCTAGATCCTAGATATTAGAATAAAATTTATTTTCTACTGTATCCATTTCAAATGTTAAAGTATTGTTTAATATTTTTGAAATCCCTGAATATCAGGCCTTGTTATAAATAAGCTGCATAATCAATAAATAGAACAAGGGACTTTTTGTTGATAATCCAAATACTCAAAGTTTACGTAATGAGAATTATAGCGTGTGTGCAAACTCTTGAGGGTTGATTATGCTGCAATTTAGCATGTTGGAACGTCTAGAGAGAAGGTTGACTTTTTGCACTTCTGTATATAGTCAAAAGAGAGAAACCTGTATAATAGTAAGATCTTATTTTGAATAAAAACGTCTATAATTACAAGGAGTTTTGTTAAGGCTAATAAAATGACAGACTGAGCAAAATTGCTTGCAAAAGTGGCACAGAGTTAGCACTCCATATCCCTTCAAACATGTTGCTTTGCTTTATTGTGGACAGCTTGTAGTTTGCCAGGATTTTTTCAGCTGGAAAGATATGCCATCCTTCCGAGATCTCATGACTGACAAAAACTCCATTGGGCCAAATCTGCCTGAAGATCATTACCAAAAATAGCAGGTACTTCAACCATTAAGGTGAAATCATGGATCAGATATTCCGTACATTTTTCAAAACTACTGCATGTTTAAAACTTCAACGAAAAAAAACAACAACAAGAGAGAAAGAACTATACTAAGGACATATATTATACAAATCAGTTTCTGCCAATTTCAGTGGTTTATTGTTCACACACACACAAAAAAGAAATCTTCAAAACAAGTATTGACTTTCACAAAATTTAAACCATAAGCAGGCAAACCAAACAATACACCGTAGCCATGGTTATGTGATTGTTTCTTAATTGCCGTAGGATCCTGTTCTTTCAGCAGGTGAAAAGTAAAACACAGTTCAAATTTCACGGTTTTAATTTTCAACTCAGAAGCACTCAAAAAAGCAAATGTGATAATGGGCACTTGTTTAATGAATTTGTGTATCCAGCCTTCACTCCAGCTGGTTATCATGTTGCACTTATCAGCAACCCTCCCGCTTTCATCTGCTGAAAGGACAGATGTGCTTGGTTTTACTATTATGTAATCACAACTTACTTTCTGCTTGTAGTTGCTTAAAATTATGTATTTTGTCTTGGGCTGCAATTTGTTTTATGCTTATTTTATTATTACTGCAGTAGTTGACTTTGCTGTATGGAAAAATAAAGTGAAATTGCCCTAATAAAACTTCTCTTTCTTAAGTATATTTGTGTATCTGAGACTGAAGAGTAAATTATTTTTGCGCGTTTCAAGCATTCATGCCTGTCTTTAGAAACATATTGATATGAAAATTCATCATCTGGTTTTAACCAATCGTGAGGAAGGCGTTCGCTATTTTTTCACTAACTATCCTTTGGTACCAGGAGTGAGAATCTGAATCGCAATGTATTGCCCAGTATTTTCTGAAAACTCTTGCCCTCCCCTCCCCTGATACCTTAAGTACTGTCTGATATTATTTTGAGTATAGGGGAGGGAAACTGTAAGTGGAAAAAATTCTCTCATCAATTCCAGAGCACTGTTTTTCTATTAAAGAATTCTTTTTTTTTTTTTTTTTTTTTTTTTTGATTTCCCCAAGAGACTAACCCTGGAAAATCAGGCAATCTACGAGAATACTTCAATAATGAAATAATGATTGATTCAGAGGGATAAAGGGGGTTACACATATACAGCTGAGCAAGGCCATGCCGTAACTGTGTGTGTGTATGTGTGTGTGTGTGTGTGAAGTTTTTAAACAATGAATTAAAAATTTGAAGTGAGGGTCTAGTATCCCATAGAGCTTTGCATTTTGCAATTTCCACTAATAGCCAGTGAAAGCCAAAGTTCCCATGTGAAGAAATTTGCTCATTTGTTTCTTTAGTGCTGTTTTATGTGATTTCCACTTCGTATTTGGCCAAAGGCTGCAAATTCTCCTTTGTAGATCAGTGCTTTTTTTTCTGAAACTTACTGCAATGAAAGTAAGTGTATTATTTATAATTAATACAATTCTGTTACTGTTTGAGTTCTATAGCACATTTCTGTTATTCTCAGTGGACCCAACTATCTGAGATGCCACTTACCAAAAACTGAGTAACTGTCCTGGAGATGAGTATCCAAAGCAGGCGTTTGTGATCTTGAATAACATCAAAACATCCGACTCTCTCCAGTTAGTCATAGTATTTTGGGTATCTTTTAATTGAAAAAGAATGACAGTAATGAACAGCCGTTGTAACATTTTCAGTACTTTAAATGATGCTGTATTATATTAATCACAACAGAAAAATGGTGTTTCAGATACTTAACTCATTTTCCAGGCAACGCTTACTCTTCAGAAGGAGCTATTACTATGGCGACCACTAGGGGTCCTCAGCTCACAGGATGGGACCCTGTCTTAGAAGTCCTTGGTTTCTTACCTGGGGAGCAAAATCATTTGCTAGAGCTATTCTTTCATTACAGACCCTTGACACTCACAAAGTTTACACTTTGGAATTACCCTGGAGGTCAGTGAAACGTAGCAATGTATAATGTCACTGAGGCACACTTTGAACAGTAGCTTCCTTCACACAGGAAATAGTCACTTAACAAGTCAACAAAACTGTGGGACACAGCAACAAGATTTTGTGATTTTTCTACTTGTTTTTACTCCATTCTCTAATGAGTCTGAGGCAGTCACTTTAAGACTTGAGGTACTCATGTTTTGGAGAAAATAGTGTGTTGAAAGCCTAGGAGGTATCTGCTTTAAATGTTTCAAGTCTACTGTATTAACATCATGGAGAGGTCCAAAAATGTGAAACTGATTAAATGTCGAGCGATTTGTTTTAGGTTCTCTTGATCTGTCAGAACAACATTTGGTCTCACTGAAATGGCTTTAAAGTGGCGCTATGCCATTTGCTGGCATTGGCCCAGCCTCCAGCTCATCATTCTTGCCATGGTTGGTCCCAGCCATCTCTAGAAGGGGCCTTGGCCCCAGCAGCACTTGGGGTGGGTGGTAAATCTGCAGCTTCCTTCAGAGTGTGGCTGTGTGAGGCCACACTGGGCCACAGCTTCCCCTCCAAATTTTTGGGGGGTTGGACTGTAGGTTTCTCCCAGGGCTGTGTGTGCTCTGAATCCCCGGAACAGAATCCAGATGTGTGCCAGGCCTGAACTGGGCCTGGGGCTCAGGAACTCTCCTTGTCCCAAGCCCTACTGTCAAGCTTCCTCAAAGTCGTCAGTACTTGCCCTGGACACTTGTCATCCTCAGCTGCCCTGTCTAACCCCCGCCCCTGCCAAGGGTTCCAGGCAACCAAACGCAGGGCTGACCCCTTTGTCAGAGGAATCTGAGGAATCTGACCCCCAGTCTCTCTCCCTTTTTGTTGCATGAGCTTTTCCTTTGTTCATGTATTTTTTTTCTTTTGCTAATTAAAGGTTGGGAAATAGAACAAAATACAGCCTGCCCCCTGAATTTACCATTTTAGGAAAAAACAGCAGGGGCAGGTTAGAATGCAGAAAAAATGTTACTATTAGTGGCCTGATAAGGTCTTTCAGAAACGATTTACTGAAGCAGGAGTGATCAGTTTCTTTCTCCGTATTTGGGTTTCATAATGACAAAGGGTGAGATTTCTTTTTCAACAGATAACAAACCATGAGGTTTATAAATGGTGGCTGGAAGCCTTCAGGTTCTTATGTAAATTCTAACTGCCACTCTCAGTCCCATTTGCCTCTTGGCAGAGCCTGGAATGTGGAATCCTTGACCTTGGAACTTAGAGCTCAGTGGCGGGGCTTATACTCCAGCTTTCGGTGGGCTTGCGTGATTCCACCGTAAAATGTGCGGTTTCGCTAGAGGGAAATTTTAGCTAATGCAACCATGGGGCCATGGCCATGAATACATCTCCTAGGACATAAAAAAAGAGCCATGGAAGAAAACTTGTTCTCCATAGGAGGGTCCCACATCTGTGCGATTCCTCAGGCCCAAGTGCCTAGTTTATTAAAGCTGATCTGGTCTTACATACACAGCTCTGGGGGGATTAAGTACTGAGTCGTACCCCCCAAGTTATAACTGAAAGGCAGTTGCTTGGACAAGGATAGCTATGACCACGCTTGCCCCTGCAGACAGGAGATGTTCACAGAAGAACGCCCAAGTTCACAGTGGACTTAGAAATCAGCAGTCATGGTGACTCTGAAGGTCTGGAAATAAGTGAGCGTTCTGTAGGAGTACATACTTGAACTTAAAGTTAGAGCAATGAAGTGCCAGAGAACCAAAAACTTAACCAAGCAGATCTCCAGAGTCCACTTAGAATGGCACACATTACGCTAGTCTGGAAGAAATTATATGCCTCTTGCCTGAAGTCATAGAGTGAGAGTAGCAAAGCTAAGCAGAAAACCTAGGACCACCCCCCGCCGAAGTCCCATAATGTAACATGACTTTAGATTGAGGATGAAAGAGGAACTTTAAGCCTGCAGCAGAGGCTGAACAAAAGAAGCCATAGTAGTTGGCGTCTAACAGTCAAAACCTGGGACCTGAATGGGGTCTCAGGAACAGAAAGAACCTCAGTGTATGCTCTACTTTGCTTGACCCCTGGGCCCCTTTTTTTCACAAGTGCAACCAATTCCCAGATGTGGACTTTGGTGGACTCTAAAGATAAATATAAGTAGCAAAAACATCTGGGGGTGGGAGGAGGTTAAGGAATTGGGGCACAACCTTTTTCAAGGTAAAGATAGGTAGTACCCAGGGAGACCGTATCACACATGCTGGTAGTAAACAAACTGCGTATGAATAGATCATAACCCCCTAAAATGATTATTTTTAAGGTGTGTGTTGAAAATTTCCTTAAATTCATAAAAATCAAAGTTATGCATTAGAAATGGCAGTAAAGCACTTGGGAGCCTCTGCAGTGGTCAAGATGAAGGGCTCTGGAACCAGACCACCTGGATTCATCTCAACTTTTCAACCCTTTGCGTTCCCTTTACCTCCCTGTGACTCAGTTTCCACCTTAGTAAGGAATCGTAACAAGAATATTTACCTTGTGGGATCATTGAGTGGTTCCCAGACTCTGCTACAGTTTGGAATTATCTGGCAGATCTTTAAAAAGTATTGATGCTGGGTCCATACCCCTAAACCCCTGATTTAATTGCTATGGAGGCAACTCCTGAGTTAATACACATAGAGAGCTTAGAACAGTGCCTGACATATAGCAAGCACTTGATACATGTTACCTATGATTGCTATTTTATTATTAGCCATTTTGTAGATTATTTTACATGATCTTTACCTTTCGGTCCTAGTTCTTAGGTTACACTTCCCTTTGCAAGGAGCCTGGGGCCATACACTGTAACTATTTGTGTTATCCATAGTTCTAACTTTCCTATTAAATAGTGAAACTTTATCTTCCAATTTACCACAGCTCCTGCTCATTGCTGCACATGTAGTGAACATTTCAAAAATAGAATCAAGGACTTTTTGACTCATTCTGAAAATTTGTACTTCATTTTCCAGCACGATGTGACCATGGATCATACCTAAACCATGTCAGTTTGAAAGTGATAGTTTAGACATATGTAAGCTTAATTATTTGAATTTTCCTGTATTTAAATTGTGCTTAAGAGCCAGTAACAGAATGGATGCATTAATCATCATAAACATGTGCCTTAAATATTTAAAATATTTATTATATTTACCAAAATAATCTTTCCACATCATATTTTATCATAGGTTTATTTTAGATGCTTAAATTAGCACTCAAGCTCTATAAACACACACTGTAGTTAGAATCTAACTATGTGCCAGGCACTGTGCTAGGCTCTGAGATACAAGATTGAATGGCAACAAGCTCTCCGTGCAAAGACTAAAATAAGATGTATAGAATACTGAATACACACTGATCTATTACTTTCTACCTCCCACAACTGTCTCAAGCCCTCTAACTGTATCACAAAGTAATTTAAAATAACATTAAATGAAAATTACTCTCTTTTTGAGTGTAATAATCTGACTACCCGACTCATTACCCAACTCATTTTATCCTTAAGAAGTAATCTGAATATTGAAAACTATGTATGATTAAGCGTGTTAATTGTAGCAGTTTTTATAATGGCAAAACCCAAGAACAGTCTTGGTTTCAGTAGTTAGAAAATGACTAAGTAAAATATTATAGAGTGTTATGTATTTAAAAAGCATTTTTAAAAAATGATTTAATTACATATTAGTAATTAAATGTAATTAAAAAGTAATTTTAGCGGTAGGATTATAGGAGC